TGGTGCATCGAACTCGCGGTCGAAATTTTTGGTTTGAACTCCGCATGGATCATTGCCTTTCCTCCTTTCGAGATAAGTGAGCGCATACGACTTTGTGGAAAGAAAACAGCAGATTACGCACTGCGGTGATCCCCTAGCTGTAGATGCGGCTTGAAGAAGAAAAGAGCAACAAGGTACTCAGTGATGATGACACAGCAACGGAGGTTAAGATCCACTATAAGCTTCGTCAAACAAATGTACTATGGTCAGCGTCCGTTTATGGAAGCACAAGGGAAACCGGCGCCCAAACGTTGCTAGCATTGCTTCATTTCCTTTCCCATTGCTAGACGATAGAATTGTTTGCTATACTCTCAGGACAACATAAATAATAGACATGATTTAGACGCTCACATATCGTCCCAGTCATTCTTATGTAACTTAGTAGTAGTTTAGCATTTTTGAGATTCTTCTCCAAATCATATGGCTTTCATTGGATACGGTATCTGGGAATGCTTTCTTTATTTAGCGACTGGGGCACAGTGTTTCAGTTTCTCTGCACCTTAGAAAAAAAGGAAAGTTTGTAACCGGTTGATGTCGGTCTTTCTTACATTTTTATGACATGGCCATTTGTGACGCCTTTCATTTCATGCAGCTTATGATACCAGGCTGATCTCCGTTTCTATGCCATCAGCCAGCAGTACCTTATTTTTAAAAGTAGTCTACAAACGCGTGGCAGGCGTGACGTCTAGTGACCTGTTTTCTACCCTCAGAGTGGTTCTCGTTTTTCAACTTTGGAAGAAACAAAGGCGATTGATGCGACCAGGGCTCGAACACATGACATTTCGGTTCTGAGTCTGACGCTCGACTGACTGAACAACCTTGGTTCAGAGGTGATTCAGAGGTGTCGAGTCCAAATCCCATTCACGGAGTGAATGTTTTAATTAGCTGTTAATTCTTTTGAACAGGGAATTCACCCTCAGTGCGCTTAGGCCATCCAGTCGAAAAACGGGTAGCAAGTGGTTGGCCCGCTGACAATAGGAATGGGGTAGATTACCCCCGGTGTGGTCGGGCCAAAGCATATGAGTCATGCGGCGATTTTTTGACGTGGGCGCCTAAAGGCTGTATTTTACCTTGGTCCATTTGATAGCTGATCGCCAAAATAGCACAGAGTAAAAATAATAAACTTAAAATAATTAAGATTTGTTCTCACCAACTGACATGATACTCAGAAATTCAGCGAACCAACGGTCAGTAGAAACTCCGTGACCATAACATCATTGAGCGCTAAGTAAATTCCTTGGTGCAATACTTGTGTATTTCATAAAACCGGATGTTAAGTGTTCGAGAAATGATCCATGCGCAGTTTGCAACGGTGTTGACTTACGATACTGTGAGGTAAAAACTTGACGACAGTATTCTCAAAATCAAAATGTTCTTAAGAACAGATTGAAGCGAGGGAACGGGAGCTGCTTAATTTGGATACCTCATCGACATAGTAGCGTTCACTGATCTCCAATCAGAACTACTTAAAAGAGCATGGACTTGGTTGACCTGTGATTAAGGATTGCTCATCACTTTGACAACACGGTAACTTATATCTGAATAACGTGGACCCTAAAAATATAATAGACGATTATGAAGGGAGGAAATGGAACCAAGACAGACCTGAATTATACGTAGGATTAGCAGCCTTGTTACTTTATTTTGCTTCCATGTACTAATTTTCAATCTTTTGCCACAATAACAGTGATTGCTTATTAATAGGTTTTTGTATTTTTAAGGTGAAATAGAAAACTGTTTATTTTTAGCCGCCTATATCACCCATTTTGCAAGTGGCCACGTTTCTGAGATCCAGTATTTTCGAATTGTAAGTTGAATTTTGTTTTGATTAATTAGATTTTTGTTTACTGCGTGGTTTTATGAAAAGTTTTCTACGGCAGTGCTCGGCAAATTCCATCTCGATATAGAACTGTGAACGATTCTTAGGTTTATTGGCATTCGTAATCGACTTAATACGTCGAGCTAT